CATAGATAAGTTAACAGTAAGAGTACAAGTATTTCCACTAACAAACACATAGAGTGACTCCTTGGGAAAATATCGGGGTCCCTGGCCTTTTGCTTCCTAAGGTTGCATTTGTAATAAAGGAACAACACTATTGTCAAAAATAAGATTTATTGCAATTACTTTGGGAAAAGCACTCAACATGAGAGAACTTCACTCTTAGAGGACTCTGCTAATTTCCCTCTGTAGAAAGTGAGGGGGTATCTCCAGGTATCCTAGTGTCGCTCAATGGTGGTGGAGGCAGAAGTCCTGGTGGTAACTTCTGATGAGGACACGGGGGCCAATGGCCCATGGGGAAGGAAAAGTAAAGAACCTGCGAAAGTCTCCATGTGGGAGAGATGTGGCAAAGAAGGTTTTAGAAGAAGCAGCTGCTGGACTGAAGAATTACTGAAGGGTGGAAAGGGAATTTTAAGAAGTGTCACTTGGGTTATGATTGTAATCTCCTTAAGTGTTTCTTAAGAGCAAAATAAAAGGTTCAAATTATTTTTGGCTGCTGGACTAGTTTATTTGGATGAGACACTATGCTAGAATCAAACCACTTGGGAACCAGAGATTTTATTCATCAAATATTAAGTGCCAACTACTGGAGATACAACAGTGAACAAGGCAGACCAAAAATCCTTTCTCAAGGGCTTGTTAGGAGAGACACAAAGTAAATAAAATAAGTAAATTATGTCATAGATCATAAAGTGATAAGTACTATGGAAAAAATAAAGCAGGAGAGGCACATAGAGAATTCCAAGGGAGGAACGTATTGCAAATCTTAAATATGGTGGTCAGCAAACTCCTCCCAGAGAAAGCGACATGGGAGCAGAGATTGGAGGGTGTGAAGGGTGAGCCAGGCAGGCAAAGTCATGGAAGAGTTAGAAGTAGGGTGTATTTATGAACCAGTAAGGAGGCCAGCATGGCAGATGTGGAGTGAGTATGGTAGGAGAGATCAGAGAATCAAGGAGACCTAACCATGCTGACAATGTAAGCCATTCTAAAACCTGTGGCTTTTCCTCTGGAGGGCTCTGAGCAGAGAAGTGATAAATACAGCTTAGGTGTGTGTGTGTTTTTATTTTTTAGACAGCATTTCACTCTTGTTGCCCAGGCTGGAGTGCAATGGCGCAATCACAGCTCACTGCAACCTCAACTTTCTGGGTTCAAGTGATTCTCCTGCCTCAGCCTCCTGATGAGCTGGGATTACAGGCGTCCACCACCACGCATGGCTGATTTTTTTTTTTTTATTTTTTTATTTTTTGTATTTTTAGTAGAGATAGGATTTCACCATGTTGGCCAGGCTAGTCTTGAAATCCTGACCTCAGGTGATCCACCCGCCTCGGCCTCCCAAAGTGCTGGGATTACAGGCATGAGTCAGCGTGTCCGGCCCAGTTTAGGATTTATTTTATTTTATTTTTGAGATGGAGTCTCACTCTGTCATCCAGCCTGGTGACAGAGTGGAGTGGCCCAATCTCATCTCACTGCAACCTCTGACTCCCTGGTTCAAGCAATTCTCCTGCCTCGGCCTCCCAAATAGCTGGGATTACAGGCACATGCCACCACGCCCAGCTAATTTTTCTATTTTTAGTAGAGATGAGGTTTCACCATGTTGGATGGTCTGGAACTCCTGACCTGATGATCTGCCCACCTTGGCCTCCCAAAGTACTGGGATTACAGGTGTGAGCCACCGCACCCGGCCCTAGCTTAGGTTTTAATAGGAGGAAAGATGGAAAGGGAAGCAGATGTCAACAGAACAGTTACAAATCCAGTGACAGATGAAGATGGTGACATGAACATAGTGAGAAGTGTTTGGATTTATTATAATTATACATCTATGTACCTCTTACTTATTTAAATTAATAAATCATTTAATAAGTAGCTTAATAAACATTTACTAAGCCTTCACATAGATTATAATCTGAAACCCTAAACCCATCAGCTCCAGAATTCTCGGCTTCTAAGGAATCAGAGATGAGAGCCTTGTGTCCAGAATTGGTGGGTTCTTGGTCTAGCTGACTTCAAGAATGAAGCTGCAGACCCTCACAGTGAGTGTTACAGTTCTTAAAGATGGTAGTCTGGAGTTTGTTCCTTCAGATTTTCAGATGTTGTCCGCAGTTTCTTCCTTCTGGTGGGTTGATGGTCTTGCTGACTTCGGGAGTGAAGCTGCAGACTTTCGCAGTGAGTGTTACAGCTCTTAAAGGCAGTGTATCTGGAGTTGTTCCTTCTTCCCAGTGGATTTGCGGTCTCACTGGTCTCAGGAGTGAAGCTGCAGACCTTCGCTGTGAGTGTTACATCTCAAAGGTGGCAAGGACCCAAAGAGTGAGCAGCAGCAAGGTTTATTGCAAAAAGCAAAAGAACAAAGCTTCCATGGTGTTGAAAAGAACCTGAGTGGGTTGCCACTGCTGGCTGGGGCAGCCTGCTTTTATTCCCTTATCTGATACTACCCAAATCCTGCTAATTGGTCCATTTTACAGAGAGCTGATTGGTCCGTTTTGACAGAGTGCTGATTGGTGTGTTTACAATCCCTGAGCTAGACACAGAGTGCTGATTGGCGCATTTACAATCCTCTAGCTAGACATAAAAATTTCCAAGTCCCCACTAGGTTAGCTAGATACAGAGTACTGATTGGTGCATTTACAAACCTTCAGCTAGACACAGAGTGCTGATTGGTGTATTTACAAACCCTGAGCTAGGCACAAAGTGCGTTTAGGATCCCTTAGCTAGACATAAAAGTTCTCCAAGTCCCAAGTGGACTCAGGAGCCCAGCTGGCTTCACCTAGTGGATCCCGCACCGGGCCGCGATCGGAGCTGCCTGCCAGTCCCGCGCCCTGCGCCTGCACTCCTCAGCCCCTGGGCGGTTGATGGGACTGAGTGCCGCTGAGGAGGGGGGCGGCCTCGTCCGGGAGGCTCGGGCCGCGCGGGAGCCCACCGCGGGGGGCGGGCGTTCGCACTAGGCGGGCTGCAGATCCCGAGTCCTGCCCCGCCAGGAGGCAGCTGAGGCCCCGCGAGAACTGGAGCGCAGCACCGGCGGGCCGGCACTGCTGGGGGACCCGGCGCACTCACCGCAGCTGCTGGCCTGGGTGTTAAGCCTCTCACTGCCCTGGGCCTGCGGCGCCGGCCTGCCGCTCCGAGTGCGGGGCCTGCGGAGCCCGCGGCCGGCGGAACTGACGCTGGACTGTGAGTGCCGCGCGCAGCCCCGTTTCCCATCCGCGCCTCTCCCTCCACACCTCTCCAAAAGCAGAGGGAGCCAGCTCCGGCCTCCCTCAGCCCAGAGAAGGGGCTCCCACAGTGCAGTGGCGGGCTGAAGGGCTCCTCAAGGGCCGCCAGAGTGGACGCCGAGGCCGAGGAGGCCCGGAGAGTGAGGGCTGCTAGCACATTGTCGCCTCTCAGCCTGAGAAAGCAAGGAGCTGGCACCTTCCTGTCATAGAATCTACTGAGAAGCATAAAGAATGAGTTTCTGGCAGGTGACATTCCATGTGGACAGAGGACCGGGTAGGGGCAAAGGCCCTGAGTTGAGCAAGGGGAACTCAGACGAATAGGATGTGGTTGGAGGTTGGTGCATGAAAGAGTGTGCTGGAGGTTATGTCTCCAAACTAAGTGGGAGGCGATCATGAAGCGCATGGTGATGAAAGTTGCAGGACAGGGTGGGGTTTGGGGAGGGACTCCTCTTAGCAACACCTGCAGCCTTAAGGGAAGATCTGCTTTGCTCAGTCCCAACCTGTTCTAGGGGAAGGAGACAAGCTAGTTTTCCTGCAACCAATTGGGATGCTTTGAGACTCTGAGGCAGAGGGTCAGAGCTGGAAGAACCTTCAACATCACCTAGCTACTTTCACTCATTAAGTGTGCAGAGGATGGCGTGGAAGCCTTGGAGGCCAGGGGAGTTTTTAAGGTTACCAGTTAGAAAATGGCAGAGCTGGGCCTTTAGCCCTGGACAGAGTTTTGTCAGTTGCACCTGAATGTGTTGGAAGCTTTATTCAGCCTCTCCCTTTTCTCCTTGATCTAGTGGGATGGGGCCCCATCTCTCAGGCATCTATTGGCAGAAACCCATTCATCTGAGGATCTGGTTTCTGTTTTGGCAGGTAAATCATAGATGGCACAGATTTTGCCCCAGAATCGAGCTGGTCTTGGACTTTTTCTCAGGAGTTTTGCCTTACAGTCCTTTTTTGCACCTCTTGTCATCTGCCTTGATTTGAGACTTGCTCCAGGCTCCAATCTCTTGCTTCTGTGATCTGCTCTTCTCTGCCTGATGACCTACCTGAGGCTGGGCCCAGTTCTGTTTGCCCTCTCTCCATCCACCCATCTTCTGTACAAGACTAGAATACCAAAGCCTCATTTCTCTCCTACTATAGACTCCAAAATACTCTTTTCTAAACCCAGCCCGTAAGGGCTCTCTTCATGTCTGTCCCACTTTCCTTTTTCTGCATACATTCTTCTCCTCGCGTCCTTAGTTCTCTCCCTTTCTGTTTTAAATCCTGATGCCTTCTTCCTCATCTTGTATTATCTTCCTTATTAATTACCCCACTACTCACAAAAAATGTTTAGGGACAGTTGGATAATTTGGCAAGAAAGAATCCTTTTGGGAGTGAGGGATAAGCAGGGAAAGAAGCTGTGAATAGTCATGCTTTGTTATTTTTTCGCTGTTACATCACTTCCCATAACAAGTAGGGCACTGAATTTCAGGTTTGATCTGCACTGTGTGGAGTGGAGCTGTTATGTCTACTTTTCTTCCTTCTTCTTTGAACTATGTATTTTCATGCAATGGACAAAGATTTCCATTCTTCAGATTGCAATTTTAGATGGCCACATACGAGCTTCCTGGTAAACCAAACACTTATGTTTCTCTCACCTGCTGCCAGCAGCTCACCACACCTTGGTTTGACACCCATTTGTACCATTTCCTATGGCTTCAAGTTTTGATCAGCCTATGCTTTCAAATATCACCTCTATTCTGATGACTGTCAATTTTATTCCTCTAGCCCAACGATCTCTCCGGATTTAAATCTCTTTAGATTGTCACAAAGCTTCAGTCTCTGATAACCATTACAAGTTTGCGACTGAGTTTGAGTCCCATAACTTTCTGGCCTTCATCTGAGGTAAGTTACTCAACTTTTTTTGTTTTGTTACTTAGCTTTTAAGTTACTTTTTCCTCTCCTGAAAATGGGAGAGAATATGAATACCCACCTGAAAGGGAGGGTGGGAAGACCAAATGACATAATTCATAATTGATGTAGAAGTGCCCTGTAGCTTGTAATGGACGTAAAAAAGCTGTCTCCAAATCTTCGTTGCCTTGTGAGTTGTATTTGCAACTTCAGCAGATACCAGATAAATTTAGAAATTGCCCCTGCAATAGACATATGTTGCCACCAGGTGGCAGGAGAAACCTGTGATGCAATCAAGGAGGACAAACATTCTCAGAGAGAATTAATAAAATAAATTCTGATTGTTAGAAGCAGCCAACTCTTTAGTGTTTATTAAATAAACAACAAAGCTTATTTATAAATCACAGAAACCCGGAATACACCAAATATGAATCCTCTAATACAGGATGTTTCAAACAGTTTTTAGGCCCTGGTACTCATTTTCCAGCTGAAATCTTACACAGAACCCCAAGTATAGAAAGTAGATAAAAGTGGCAGAACTTTTTCTGAAGTAGGGCAGGCACATTGGGAGTTAATTCACTCATCCTCCTTCTTTATCCTTGAGCCACCTCTGCCAAACCTCAGGTCTTCCTGGGACTGAGTTCTAAACCACTGTTCTAACAACTGTATTAATACCCTTTAAAAATATTCCTTTGTCATTGTAAAAAATGCGTATTACTCTAAAATATATAGAATTTTAGATAGAGTTTATATAAAATATAAATTATAAATGTACTTAAATGTGTGTAAATATAAAATTATAAAATTTGGGCTGGGCGTGGTGGCTCATGCTTGTAATCCCAGCACTTTGCGAGGCTGAGGTGGGCAGATCACTTGAGGTTAGGAGTTTGAGACCAGTGTGGCCAACATGGTGAAACCCCGTCTCTAATAAAAAATACAAAATATTAGTTGGGCATAGTGGCAGGAACCTTTAATCCAAGATACTTGGGAGGGTGAGGTAGAAGAATCCCTTGAACCCGGAAGGCAGAGGTTGCAGTGAGCCAAGACTGTGCCACTGCACTCCAACCTGGGTGACAGAGTAAGACTCCATCTCAAAAATAAAATAAAATAAAAAATAAAATTCATAGAGTTTGTAGCATATAAAAATATATAAAATACAGAATTTTAACAGAATCTATGTAGAATATATACTATATAAATGTATATATTTTTAGTTTTAGAATGAAAAAAGGGTCATTTTTTGAGGCACTTTAGAAAGTGACTAAAAAGAATATTTCTAACATTCCAAGCTGCTCTTTACCTCTGACTTCAGACTGTTGGATATTTTTTTACCTAGCTGTTGGTTCAAGATGGCAGACTGAGCACACACATTCAGCCTCTTCCACCTTTAAAAGTGTCAACAGGAATAAGTGAATTCAATGTAAGAAGGTATGTAAATAAATGAGTTTATTAAAAAGTGAGAATGAATGTGACATAGGAGAAGGTCAGCTGTTTTGAGGAGTTTCTAGAATATAGAAGGCAGAAGGTGTATCATATTTAAGCTCATGCGCAAACCAGACTAGAGAGGGCCAGGGCTCAGTTCTGCCTAGAGAAAGCAGGAGTGATGGGGAGCAGGTTTCTGCGGGAAGGAGAAGAGCCTCCCCCACTCCCAGAAGTCCGTGGTGTGGAGAAATGCAGAAGGAAAGTAGGGGGAATGGCCAACCTGGAGATAAGGAGCAAACTGTCTCTAGGATGGCTGCCTTGATCAGGTTTTAAAGCCTCTCTCACTACTAATGAGTGTTCTTTCCATCTAAGGCTGAAAGGAAATCAATATTTTCTAAAGTAATTGAGAAATCTGTATGCAAGGGGCCAGGCCCCACAATATGGATGGTTGGAGTCCATAAGAGCATCTTCTTAATATAGGCTCTGGGGTCAGAGGATGTCAGAGATGGTGCCACCCGCCTGCTCTGCTTTCTCACACCAGGAAGAGATGCCTTCTAGTGAACACACTTCCCCTACAGACAAAAAGCCCACATTCACTCCTCTTACTAGAGGGGCAAACATAAACCCATCTTTCTGCATTGATTAACCTATCAAGGGTGTCCAATCTTTTGGCTTCCCTGGGCCACATTGGAAGAAGAATTGTCTTGGGCCACATATAAAAGACACTAGTGCTAATAATAGCTGATGAGCTAAAAAAAAAAAAGATAATTGCAAAAAAATAAAATCTCATAATGTTTTAAGAAAGTTGATGAATTTGTGTTGGGCCACATTTGAAGCCATCCTGGGCTGCATGCAGCCTGCGGGCTGTGGGGCTGTGGGGGTTGAACAAGCTTGACCTAGACCATTCTGCAGAAATGTGAATGGAGAGCCAGTGCTCACCAGGCTCGTGAAGAGAGTGAGCAGCATAAAATGAGAATGAACAAACAGAACTGACCCCAGAGAAAGTAGGGACAATTTAAGGAAAATAAGGGAACTTTAAAAGGATTATGAAGAATGTGAATTATTCAAGATAATGTACTCATAAAATGAAAAGGGTATATTATGATAAAGAGGCCACAAGTGAACAGAGAAAGTTCCATAGAGATTTAAAAATAAGATCCATGAATTTAGGCTGCCACAGTGCACAACTCTAAGGGTGCCCTTTTCATTGTAGTGCTGTAAATGGAGCTATGTGGATGTGCAGTGCACAGCTGGTGTGGTCACATGTGATGACTTGAATGTGGAGGTCAGGGCATCTGGGTTCAAGTGCAGACTATGGCATGACTGGAGAGATGGCTTGACTTCTCTGGATCTTAGTTTACTCTTCCTCTAAAATACTGTGGGGCCAGGGATATATTCAGTGAGGGCACAGCATGAGGCCTTTTTCTGTCTTTGGTTCCTTTAGATGTTAAGAGGTACCCCTCCACTCTCCAGCACTTCCCGAAGGTAGCTCTGCTACTGTCTAGGTCATTTAATATATGCATTTAGCCAGTTGCGGTGGCCCATGTCAACACTTTGGGAGGCTGAGGCGGGCGGTTCACCTCAGGTCAGGAGTTCAAGGCTAGCCTGGTCAACATGGGGAAACCTTGTCTCTACCAAAAATACAAAAATTAGCCAGTGTGATGGGCACCTGTAATCCCAAGTACTTGGGAGGCTGAGGCAAGAGAATTGCTTGGACCTGGGAGGTGGAGGTTGCAGTGAGCTGAGATCGTGCCATTGCACTACAGCCTGGGTGACAAGAGCGAAACTCTGTCTCAAAAAAAAAATCTATATATATGTGTGTGTGTGTATGTATATATGTGTGTGTGTGTGTATGTGTGTGTGTGTATGTGTGTGTGTGTATATATATATATGTGCATTTATAACCTGTTGGAACTCTTTCCTCCTTTGGATCTGAAGCTGGGAATGTGAGGGAATTGGGAGGGCATCCTGCACCCAATCTTTGACTAGTCCCAGAACAATTCTTTCTTGGCAATGTTTCAATACTGGGCTAGTATATATCTCCTTCATAAAGATGAGAGTATAGAAAAATCAATATAAGGTTTATGGAAAAGTTCTGTAGCACAAGAGAAGCATGGTAATGTACTGTGACTAAGCAAATTCACTTTCTTCTGAAATAGATTTTGTGCAAGTAAATGAAACCATTAAAAAAATATCAATTCCTAAAAAGAGGATACTTTCTTCCATTAAACTGACCAGGCTGTTATGGGGGGTGGGGATGGGGAGTAAGAACATAAAATGATGTGTAGAAATGAAAAAAGTATAGTAGCTAAAATAAAATCCATATAAGGATAAAGAAAGTGAAGACACACTACTATAAAAAAGCAGTTAGGCCGGGTGTGGTGGCTCATGACTGTAATCCTGGCGCTTTGGGAGGTTGAGGCAGATGGATTGCCTGAGCTCAGGAGTTCGAGGTTGCAGTGAGCTGAGATCGTGCCACTGCACTCCAGCCTGGGCAATAGAGTGAGACTCCATCTAAAAGCCTCATTCAGAGGCATCCTGGGCTGCATGCAGCCTGCGGGCTGTGGGGCTGTGGGGGTTGAACAAGCTTGACCTAGACCATTCTGCAGAAATGTGAATGGAGAGCCAG